ATGACTTAAGGGATGTACTCTACAGGTGGGTCGCCGTCTTTTTCCTCTGAAGGAGCGGGTGTAGGCAGTGGGTGCTGTTATGCAAAAACCGCAATAGAGTGAAGCCGCGGAAGTTGAAGCTCGAAGTTGCGAGGGTTCACTGTATATGAGTTTCACTGGATTTGTTTCTCTCATCAACCCAGCCTAATAGATTAGGTAAAGTAGAAGGACAGTAAAAAGCAAGAAAGCCTTCAGGAAGATGGATTGACACCATTGCTTCAACACTGCACTCAAGCATAGGAACACGTGTGAGGATGGTGCAGGACTGGGAGGTGTTTGGTTCTGCTGTGCATCGGTGGCTATGGGCTAGAACCAATCCGATGGCACCTACCAGCAGCAGCAGCAACAAGTCTTTATGTGAGCAGAAAGCCCATCTTTCTGCCAATTATAGCAAGAGCAGTAAAATAAACTACCAACCACCACAAGTAAGGAAATAATAGAGATGAGGGAAAAAATGAATGAATTAGAAAACAAAAATATGAAAATATCAGTAAGGCAAGAAGTTGGTTCTTTGAATACATTAACACAAAATTCACAAGCCACTGGAAAACTCTACAAAGGAAAAGAACATGCAAATATCATGAATAAGAAATGAAATGGTTGAAATTACAACAGAACCAACTAAAATTTAAAAGATAATCTAATGCTATGAAGGATTTTACTCCAACAAATTTGAAAACCTAGAAGAAATGGAAAAATTTACAGAACACACTACCTACCTTAATTGCCACAGGCTGATGTAGAAAACCTCAGGACCCATAACAAAAGAAGAAATTGATCAGGTCATTGAAAATCTCCCAATGAATGAAAGTCCAGGACCAGATGGTTCAACCGGGGAATTCTACAAAGCACTCATAGAAGAACTGGCTCCAATACTACTTAAACTGTTCCCAAGTTTAAGAAGGACGTCAAACCCTTAAACTCATTTGATGAAGCAACTATCACCCTGATACAAATATCAGGCAAAAACATGACAAGAATAGAAAATTACAAACCAATATCCCTTATGAATACAATTATAAATATTCTCAACAAAATCCCAGGCATTAGAATAAAACAAAATATCAAAATAATAATACATCACAAACAAGTGGGATGAATACCAGGTATGCAAGGACAGCTCAACATTAGAAAAACAATCAATGTAATCCATCACATATATGAAATAAAGAAAAAGGAAAACAACATAGTTATATCATCTGATACAGACAAATCATTTAACAAAATTCCATGCTCGTTACTGATAAAAGCATTCAACAAAACCAATGGGCAGCATCCCGCTCAGTGGGAAGAAACTGAAAGCATTTCCTTGCAAACAGGAATCAGTCAAGGAGGCCCTTTAGTGCT